GACCCCAGGTCTGTGAGGTCATAGAACAGTTCTGAGACTGAGCTCAGACTGATTCTGATGCAGAATTGTTCATTTTGAGAATATAATCAATATTTAACTCACAGTAGACCCTACAATGGGACTCAAGGCTACAGCAGAGATGCTACAGCTAGCTGCTGCTGGAGCAGAATTATTTGAAAATATTTATAAAATAATGTTTGCTGCAGTGTGTTTTATTACAGGGTTTGTGAAGATGGTTTCTCTCATTTTACAATGAAGTGTAAAAATGTACCAATGGTTGCTGCTCCTGCAGGGTGGGATGTTGGTGGTACACTGGGGATCTCCTGTCATACACACACTTGTCTCTAAGACCCTCCTCGTTTTGTTTCTTGGCAGCATGTACTGCTAGGGGCCAGCCGCGCAGACAAGGCCACGAGCCAGTCCAGTCGCTCTCTGGGGGCTCGCTGCAGGAACTCCATCGCCTCCTGCTCCGACGAGCAGCCACACATCGGCAACTACCGTCTACTCAAGACCATCGGCAAGGGGAATTTTGCCAAAGTGAAGCTGGCCCGCCACATCCTGACAGGCAGGGAGGTGAGAGGGGTGGGCGGGTGTGTGCGTGTTTATTTCACCTGGTTCAGCTGCAGCTAACTGTTCAAAATCAATTTAACTCAGGTTGTTTTTTTATATTTAAACTGGCTTCAAATGTTTCTAAAGAAATTATTGTTTTGGATAAAATCCTATCTGTTGAACAGAAAGTGGTTTTGTTGAGAAGACTCACAGGCTCTTGTCCTGGCCCGGTTCTGTTCACGCTTTGATTGGTTTTGTGGGRTCATCTTGATCTCCAAGCTGCTCCAGCAGTGAAAATGAATAAACACAACCACAGGTTGGGCTTCATGTTAAACAAGAACATTTTTATTTACCAAGAACTAAGTAAAAACCCAAGATCTCCAGCTCCTCTTCACGCCTCTGTTAGCAGATAAAGGCTAAAGCAGGAGTGCCCAAACATTTTCCCGGTGAGAGCCAAAATTAAAATCAATCTGAGGGCGGTGGCCCAAATGCAATAATATAATACATGAAATGCAAATACTTCTCAAGTAAAGTTGTATTTTTTATGATTAAGCTAGCAGCCAGTGCAGTTGCCCACATTATTTTTGTTTGTTTGGTTATTGTTCAGCCCAAGAACATGGAGAAAATCCAACATATGCTCGGGCAAAGGCTCATGAAACTTTTCATAATTTAAAATTTGAGTATATGTGATCTTATAAGGTGTGCAAATCTAGATATGGACTTAAATTTAATATAAATGTCTCTTCATCTTAACATAATTCAAAGATAAATTGAGTACCAAGAGTTAAGAGTATCTGGCTACAGCCCCTTGTACGTATAATTAGACCAATGGTTGACAAGACTAAGTGGAAATACAGTGTTTCTACATAAGGCAGGAGATTACAATCTGGTAACCAGAACAACTGCTGGTGGGCCAAATCAAATGGCATGACTGGCCAAATATGGCCCATGGGCCCCACTTTGGGCACCTCTGGGTTAAAGGGTTCCTTCAGATCATTAAAAAGTAAGTAATAAGAATTCATCAATCCAAAAATAAGGGCTTAAATAGCCTTAAAATGTCTTTAATCCATCTTTCAGAAGTCTTAAAAACGTTAACACATTGTAAATAGGTTGATTGTAATTCATCTCAAATATTAAAATAATTGGTAACATTTATTTTTTAAATWTTTACATGCAAACATTCCCCTTTGACATCACTTCCTGTTAATTAGATGCAAATATCTCAACTGTCCATCTGAGCAATGTGAAATTTGTTTTGTAATATGTTAATAATGTTGTCTTTGCAAAAATGCTTTAACTGTTCTTACAAATTTTGATGTCATTTTCACTTAAGGTTTCATCCATAGCAAATTGGGGTTAAGACCCCACTGTGGGTCCTAAAACTCCAAATTTTGGGCCGTTAAACTGCCTGCTAAGATTGTTTTTGCTATTCTTGACAAAAAAGCAGTTAGATATAGATAAAACAATTGGTCTATTAGCAATATTTGAATACTTAAACCAAAGATACATTGATTTATGAGTTTCTGCTCCAGTTCGATTTTTTGTCATTGGTGTTTATTATGAAATGGGTCTTGAAATTAATTTCAGTTGGCATTAAAAAGTCTTGAAAAGTCTTAAATTTAACTTGCTTTAAACTGTAGGAACCCTGGGTTAAAGATCAAAGGTCATGACAAGACAATTAGAAAAAGACCAGAACTCCATCACTCAGGTTTGAAAAGTTTCATCTGAAGGAACCACAAGATTTCTGGATCAGAACTGGACTAAAGGACAGCTGTTTACCCAGAATGCACTGCAGCAAACTGCAGCTGTCACCACGGCGGTGGAGGCTGATGGTTTGACGAGTGGACCATGAAGTCCTCTTTAGACCAAAGGTTCTAGATACAGCGGGTAAAATAAGTATTGAACACGTCAACATTTTTCTCAGTAAATATATTACTAGAGGTGCTAATG